TATATTTGTATTGTATGACAACAGAAAAATATTTACATAAATTTAATTAATATTTTGAGTTATTAATTTCATGGAATGTTATATTAATTCAAACGTTAGCAGATATATTTATTAATAATATATTTATATATATTTATTTAAATATATTTATTATTAATAATATATTTAAATATATTTATTAATTCAAACGTTAGCAGATATATTTATTAATAATAGAGTTAATAAATATATGACGTGTGTGAAAGGTTATATATTCGAGGATTATGGTAGCGCAAAATACAAGGATGGAAATAGGGATCGTATCCCCAAAACGCGTTTTCAATTCTAAAACAATCCCTTTGAGAAAAGCTACTCATGAAACTTGAAATTACGAACAGCGAAGACAAAAAGTATTTTCCGCTGAGCGTAAATCGTCGAATAAAACACGAGAGCTTATTGTGAATGATTTATAATTTGAGATAAAATCTAGAACAAAAAATTCTATTTATAATGTTGTAATTAATAATATTATAACATAATTTATACTTGAATATATTCATATTGTTTCAATGCTCTTAAAATGTTTTCTGTATATAACTGATATTTAAAATTATTAATAGAATCTTCAATCTCTTTCAAATATTATTATAAATTATAAATTGTATATATAAGTAATAAAGAACAAACAAATAGATTAAATATACAATATTATGGTCCATTAACATAAAATAGAAGCACGAGAATAAATATCAAGCGATATACGAAATTTCGAAATAAAATATTTCAACAATGATGTGGATTTTTTACAAAGAGAAGAAGGAAAAGGCAAGGAGGGTTGGTGGATCGTTCAAAGAAATGAGTCGGAGATCAAGAAGAAAAGGAGGAGGTCAAGGTCGTCAATGCGATAGACAAAATATTTTCCGAGACCGTATCAATTTATTATAACGTATACTATAGCTGTAATGTATATTAACTGAATTGATATAAAATGGAAATCCTTAGGATTATCAAAATCGCTTTGTAACAGGATTAACTCTAACTCTTAGTACATATTATGAATCATTCAGGTGTGTTTTGCATGTTTATTTTCTTTAAAATACTGGAGTAGTATCTGGTTAAAGAATGGCTCCTATCCTTTTCTTTTCTTTTAATACGCAATGCAATCTTACAAATACTTCGTAAATATATTAATAAAATATATATAAGAATTACTTAATAATTTTTGTATAAGTGTTGAAAAATAAACCAGACATAAACGATTCATCGTGCGCACTAAAGGCTGTAATAAAGAACAAGATTATTGTGTACTAAATACTAAAAGTTAATGGCGAAAGTACATGAACGAAGGATGTAAATTTTCTAGGCCTTGCAGGTGTATCCTGATATAACGCACGAAGGACTTCGAGTAAGAAAAAGGGTCAGGGATACTTAGCGAATATCATACGGAAAATGAAAAAAGCACAATAAACGTAAAAAAATATTGATATTTTTATGGAACGACAAATGCGTTATATCGACTATATATATACACATATATACACACACACACACACACACACAGATAGATAGAAACACGATTAATGAACAACAGATTAAAGAAATAGGATAGATTATTTTCAATTATTGTTTACCCAAGTAAGTACACTTTAAAAATCAATGACATAAATTGAGCGAGAGTTTGATATTAAAGGCTAGTAATATTTCAATTTTTTTTCATTAAATAATAACTTACACGGCACATTTATTGTTAATTTATATATTTTGATAATAGTAAAGTATAATGCAATTTTCATTTATTCATCAAATTCATGTATTATGTAATTTATTTTAAATAAATGCTTAAGACATTAATATTCATGATATAAGTTTCAATATAATTTCCTTCTTTTATTTAACAATTGAGATGAATCAGAAATATACTAGTAATTTATCATGTAGGTGTTATTCAGAGAAAGTTATTAACAAGAAAAATTTCTGGAGAAATAGCGAGAAAAGGAAACTTAGTTATTATCGGCGACAAACGTTAGAAGTCTCGTGATTGCAACGACTCGTAATTCACTAAAGCTCATCAATCACTCTGCTGCATACATTGCCGCGACTCGACATGACGCCAACGAAAAAGTATCTCGTAAATCATACTCTAATGTTATTTCGTAAAAACTTTACGAATTTATCATCTGAGTATAAACTTTTACTTAGAATGTAAATGCGTACTTAAGAAATACATGTAGCATAAAAAATACACACTGGATATGTACTAACTTATAATGATTTTCGATTTGATTAACAAACGCCATTAATACTAAAATCGTCATTTTAGCTTCGTTACCCATTTCAATTTTTTGTATGAGAGGTTTTGTATTGTATATTGGATGAATGCAAAAATTTATAATTAAATTTTATTATTAAAACTCTAGCAGTAATTTAGAGCATGTAAAATTTAAAGTTTTTCCTACTTTTAAAGCTCTTAAAATCTTTATATTCAACATTGTTATATTTTTTTTAATTTCCGTGAGTTTGGTTTACATATAGGAAACTACTAGTTAGACAAATAAAATTTTCTTCTTATTTCGTGAGCGTGATTAAAAAAAGTTTCGACTTTCTAACATGAAAATTTAAAGTTTTTCCTAAAATCGTTTTTTTAGAAATGTTCTTAAGATTTTTTATTACTGAGATATCACGGTTTAAATAAAAAGAATATTTTAATTTTGATAAATATATAATATATCAAAATATATAATAAAAAAATACCTTTTCAATTTGTTAGAACGATAAAAAATATGAAATCTATGAAATCGAAGAACGAATTACGAGAATGGTAAAATTCAAATCAAATTGAAGACAGAAAGACCTCTTTGTGCAACCAATTGTAAGTTCGCGTTGTCATTGAAATTCTAAGGGCGCATTTTATGATGATAAAATATGGAAGAATGGCTTTCCTGATGAACTTCATTATTTGAAAAAATTGCTACGCTGAAACTTGGCACGATTTTATACGTATATGATTGAATAGAGCGACGTGGGCAAAAGTTAACTCGACGTGAGACATCTGCTATCGTAATAACAAGTGAAAACTTTACAACACAACAATAAACTACCAACGCTTGCTCGTCGCGTAGTTCTATTTCATTCGGAAAGCAGCAAGCAAAAAACCCGCATATGGTTTTGTTTGCTGGTTTCGTTTTATTGTTTTCAGAGATAAAAGGCACATTGCGCGCCATTTCCTTTTTTAAACAATCATGATATGTATGCTCGAAAAAGGATAAAAAAGAAAGAAAAAAAAAGCTAATATGTGCTCTGTCTTGTACATGCGCAATTTAGTTAGCTCTGTGTAACCAATCGCACATCGTGCGATTTCCAATTACTTTCCACATAACATGTAGTAATATTGCAAACAGTTCTCATCGGTAAATCATTTCTGCAGAATAATCTTTTCTGCTAACGCTTTTTATTGAACAAGTATAACATAATAATGCGCATAACAAGAAGTATATTTTTAGATCAAAATATTTTTGAGATATTTTTCTTTCTTGCTAAAAAAAAAATGTGTTTGATATCACTTCTTACTTAAGAAATCAAAACTAAAAATTGCACAAAAATTTATTTAAATTGAAAGTAAAAGAATAAATAAAGTATACCAGTTGTGTGTACGTGAAGAAATATTTTTATAATAAATTTGCTCTTGTTAATTCTTGAAATTTTCTTGATCTCAGAATTGAGTATGAAATGTCAGAAGAAAATGTATCATATATATTATATTTATATGCAGGTGATAACGTGTACCACGAAGCAAAAATACAATGACAGATATTTCTGTCATTGGTGCAAGACACGCATTGTTCTCGATAAACGAGAACGGAAAGCTTGAAGCGTTGGCGTACGTCTCTTCATTTGCTTCTAGCCAAGGATAGCATTCTCTTTGTGGGATGCACACGATGATATATATTCCCTACAAACACATGTACACACGCGCGCGCGCGTATAAATTTATTTAAAGAGCCTTTCTCGTTTGCATCTTCTTCTTTCTATTGCCATAAATCTAATGGAAATCATGCTTTCCCTTCGAATGTTCCATCTATTTTACGAACAACGATTTAAATGTATGATATCCAATCCAATTAGTAACTTATATAACATGAATTTCATTATACATTACTTAAATTATGCATAATTCAACGTAACGTTGCATAGCGATATGAATTCCTGCAAACATTTTACTTAATTCTTTCATGTTACGGTTCGCCTACGCAGCCTAGCATTGCACAAAATATTTTTTAATAGAAATTTCTCATAAATTCCGCAAAGCAGGATAAAACTACACCAAACAATCGTTTTATATCATTATGTGTTTTCTTATTATACACTGGAAAAAGCGTTAATTGAAAAAAAAATTTGCAAATTGCGTTAATTGAAATTCTGATTGAAAATATGAAAATCAGAATTTTCTAGTTGAATCTATTATAATTCTAAGTGATAAAAAAACCAGAATTCTGATCGATATTATCAAAATCTTCTAATTCGTTCACTTCTTCAGTTTATCTATATATGTGTATATTTTTATATCTGTACCTTATCTTACGAACCCAATAATGAACACTTTTTCCAGAAGAATGGAGCGAAAACTTTCCCTATCAGCTTCTAATAGCGGCAGGGATAGCCCTGGTTGGTCTTGTTCTCCTGGCAGCGGTGAGCTTCCAATGCTCTTCCACTTGGCGATGGATAATGAACATGACTCGACATGAGAATGTTGAGGACACAGAGACCGATCAGATTCAGCAAAATGCAATTCGCATTAGCCATTCTCTTCCGGACCTCCAATCGGAACCAATTACTCATGAATACGTTCAAGAGCAGAAGGATAATAAGAAGGTACTGTTAACAAATTCAAATTAGTAAAACGTTCCGTTAAATTCTGCAACTGTTTCAATGTTGACATTTTATCAGGTATTGCGTCAAACCACTTTACCCATCGTGCCAATGAGACATCAAAGTTTCCAACGTCAATTATCACACCGGCTTGATCTGCCTAACATTAAATTTAGTATTTGCAGTTTCGAAAATCGCAGCGACTCCAGCCTTGGCCTTATCAAGGTATTTAGGTGTTATTTCGATACAAGTCTTTATTATAATAGCTGTTGGAATGCAAGCAGCAACACAATGTTATTCGATTCCCTTTGAAAAAATATCAGCTTATCATGTAACGTATAGAATTCTGTATATTCCGGTTTTCTGGTTTACTTCCAGCATCCTGTTTTATGTTAATTGATACTATTCATAAATAATTGAAATTATAAATTTTTATTTTATTTACGAAATATAATATTGATGTGAATTGTTAACCCTGTATAGCCGGAGTTGTATAAAAAGGAACTTGTGAGACAAGAGAGCGCGGAAAGCTCCAGTACAACAGAAATGGAATACGCCGGAAAATTACATTTTGCTCTACGCTATGACAAAGAAATCGAAGGTCTCGTTGTCAAAGTAAGTAACACGTAATATTTTCTGTCACAAATTTTAGTTGTATTAAAATATCATAAATTATACAATAATATGAATTTATTAAAAATGTATAGCACGACAGATAGAAAAATTCATAGACAAATATTTGAATAAAATATTATACAAAATAAATTCATAATTATATAAATGAAACAAAAAATTTTCCCAAGCCGATAAATAACGTGCGTGTAAATTAATGAATTCATATGTAAACCCCCTTTATGTAAACTGAATATGTATCTACCTGGGTAATATTCAGCATCTGGGATATTGAATAGCGATAATGCAGTATCACAATATTACATTTATGATGGATATATTCTCTGCTGTGCTAAAATTAGTCGTGATAACGTATAGATTAGGTAATGTCAGCTATATTAAGCTATTACTGTATGTGGTGAAGTCAAGTGCATTAAGATCAATTATACACAGTAAACCATTTCAATCATGGCAACGCCTCTATTATCTTCATAGATAATAGAATTAAAATATGATGCCATTACTGATCTTTGTCCATTTGTCGCATTGCACTATACGTAAATTGTTATAAAAATGTATCAATATTTCAAAACTGTTATTTGTGAGAGAGAAAGGTTTTTGTAAAAAAGAAAGGTTTCATTATGTAATATGATTGTGCAATAGTTCAACTACAATTATTTTTTTATTATTGTCTGCTAATATAAATACGTACAAAGTAATTTAATATGTAAAAAATAACATTTAATGTTACTAATATTATTCAATCTTTGTCTCTTAAAAAAATAATATTATTTTTATTGTTACCTCATGAAATCTTATCTCAAGTTTAATGACATCTGATTCTTTAATATTAGGTTCTAGAAGCTCGCGAATTGCCAATAAAAGATGTAACGGGTAGCAGTGATCCGTATGTGAAGGTCTACCTGTTGCCGGATAGGAAGAAGAAGTTTTTAACAAAAGTACATCGAAAGAATTTGAACCCAATATTCAATGAAACGTTTATCTTTAGGTAAAGAAATTTATAATGTAATATTCACTGTAATTTATCTTGAAAAATTTTTTTTTAGCAGTTATGTGTATCTCTCTCTCTCTCTCTCTCTCTCTCTCTCTCTCTATTACATATATATGTGTGTATGTGTATGTATATATATATATATATATGTACATATGTATATATATATATATATATATATATATAAATACATACATACATACATATATATCTTGAATGTTATAATTATGCAAAAAAAAATTAAAACGCAGCGTTTGATATTTAATATATTTTATCAGTGTATCCTATGAAGAATTGAGGGAACGTTACTTACAATTCTCGGTGTATGACTTCGATCGATTTTCACGTCACGATCTCATTGGACAAGTAGTTCTTAAAGGGCTCTTAGATTGTACTGACCTTGAGCAAGAAATCGAATATACGATGGACATTCTCTGCGCTTTGCAGGTAATTTAATTTGCATGAAATAGACAGTTAATTATTTTAGATGGTTACTTCGAGTGTAATTTTAAATTTCAATATTACAGGAGAAAGTCGATCTGGGAGAATTGATGTTGTCGTTGTGCTATCTACCAACCGCCGGTCGTTTGACATTAACTGTCGTTAAAGCCAGAAATTTAAAAGGAATGGATATAACAGGAAAATCAGGTCTGTATAGAATGGATCAAATATTTTGTTATTGTTAACTCTCCATCTCTGCAATTATATTTTTACTCCATCTATCGAGCCAAGTTTTTTTACTATTTTAGGCTTTTAAAAAATGTAGAAAAATTTAAAGTTATTTTTTAACATCTCTATTACATTACAAAATATTTTTTAACAAAATATTTTTAGAGTTTGAACTGGATTCTCCTTTATTTTGGAAAAAATTAAAATTTCGCTTATTCGCAAAAAAGACGGATTGCAGACTGAGAATGAATGGAAATATCTTCTAAGAATATAATATTAATTATTACTATTATTATTGTATTATCATAATTATATATATTATTATTACCTTTATTATATTATTATATTATTATATGTAGCTATAATCAACTGAGTATGTTTCATTTCCTCATTAGATCCTTATGTGAAAGTCTATCTGCTATGCCAAGGCAAAAGAATAAAGAAGAAAAAGACAACGGTAAAGAAAAATACTCTTTATCCTATCTACAATGAAGCACTCGTTTTTGACGTTCCCTCAGATAACATCGAGGATGTCAGTCTTATAGTGAAAGTAATTGATTACGACAGGTAAAAATTTTCGACACATTTTGAAAAATTGTTTTATTAAAGTAAGAGAACGGAAAATTAAATATTTTATACACACTAGAATTGGATCGAATGAGTTGATGGGCTGTACCGCGATTGGATCGAGCTTTATTGGAATAGGCCGTGATCACTGGTTAGAAATGCTAGATAATCCAAGAAAACCAATAGCACAATGGTATCCATTAATGGAAACTGTAGCTGGCCATATTCCAGCCGTGGATTCGGAATCACTTCCAGTAAGCCTGAGCTGCTTAAACAGGGTTAACAGGTAGGTTTAATTCCTGCGCGGATTGTGATTGACCATTACAAGATGAGAAAGCCGCTATAATGGTATTGAAACAGTGTCACATTTTGAGGCAAAGAGCACAATCAAATAATGAATTATAATAAATTTATATTCAGAAAAAATTGTAAAATTTTTAAAACTGACTCACCCTCTAAAGAGATAATCCAATAGTAGTTCATTAGAAATCTAAATTCTTGTATGATAAGATAAAAATTTTAATAACTTTGTTGATGTTTCTGACAAAACTCGCATTGCAGATGAAGACAAAAGGCAGAAAATAAATACTGCAAGAGCTCGCAAATATTGTCGGACGTCGGCTTGGACATCGTCTCCTTCTGTCGTCATTTAATGCACATCGCTTGACTGACTTAAGTACAACCTCTGTCTCAAAGAAAGGCCGGAAGGCGAACTCTGTGCTTTGCAATCTTACCTCGTGCAGCAGGCATGAAATAATAAACGATCCGGCGTAACGAAAAAAATCAATCACTCGCGAAACATATGTTGCTCAATTCCGGCGATTCGATGGCAATCGCGACGGAAACGAGATAAATTTATGTTGCTTTATCTTTCGAGCTGCTGCTCGCGATAGTGCGGGCTGGTCCCGCATCGTTTCAAACGCAGGTTATTGTTGTATTTACAATATCCCCGTAGTATTCTCTCTTATCACACGTGATGTTGAGCATGACGGTAGTTTAAATGTTCTAGATTAACGCGTGAGATCAGCTAAAGTAAGTTTTTATAGAAAATAAGCGTGAGGATTGTGAGGAGTTTAAGGCCTTATCCTCGATAAAGATGAAACGGACGAATGCAGATAACTTTAGAGACGGATTATATTAATGGCAGAGCATTCAATATATCATTGAATACGATAGATGTTTAAGGTAGTACAAATAGAATTGAATCTATACGTCGTTTATTATTTCACGCTCGCTATCACTTCTGCGCAAATGTTCTATTAACGTGATATATGTTTAAACATAAAGAAGGCTCGATACAAACGAGCACTATTTGTGATAATGTATCTGAAAACATATACGCATACTGACACATATATACGTACAAGTACACACGTGGTCCAGCGACCGTGTTTATCAGTAGCTGCTTCGTACACGTATGTACGTTTGCAACTAACGCGTCTACTCAATTGTGAACTTGATAATAAATAATGATACACATCGTGTAAGTTAATTATATAGTAATAAAAAAGAAGGGCAAGCATTTCTGTTATTATTTAATAAATTACGGATGTATTATTTATGTGCATGCCATGCATTTAAAAATATAATTGTAATATTGTGAAAATGCGTGATTTTTAGTGTAAATTTTCAACGAGAAAATTGTCTGACTTTTTGATGAATTGCGTTTGGCCAAATTTGCGAATGTCTTTAACAAGCCTGTGTAAATTTTGCTTTATTGACATATTTCTAAGAAAATCTGATATATAACGATATATATCTGATATATAACGTTTACACAGAATGCATGGAAAGAACTTGAGTATCGAAAAATGGGCGTTTCTGGAAAATAGATAATAAATTGGGTATTCTCAAATATTTTATAAGTAAAAATGCAATGATAAAATGTACTTTTAATTGCATTTATCTTCTTAGTTTTGTTAAAATTCAAATTATTCTTGTAATTTCAAATTTCTTAAGCCCTTGTCAGTTGGTAAAGAAATGGTAATTATGCCACAAAAATATACGTAAGCTACACATAGTATAGAGTTATATTACGCAAACCGTAGATAATCAAATATAATATCAAAACTGAGGTGATATAATACAGTGACATATTGACTAGCGGAAAATGTGCCAACAAAGTAACTATGTAAAAAAAGTAGTGTGATTAATAATAGTATGTTCTAATCACATGCTTGATATAGAAACTTCAGAGTCAGCATGCTGTAATAATCTTAAAGTATCCCTCTATTTCAAGTCAATATATTTCGACTGTATGCCTTTTTTTCGTCTGTAAATCGTAAGAAACATCTTTCTAAATCCTCGAGAGTTTTCCATCTATTTCGTTGTTCCAGTGATGCCCATAGAAAAAAAAAACTTGATTTTTCGTACAAGTGGGACATTCTACCACAGGACTGAGCTTTCTCAAATATAACTTCATGTAATAAGTGGAATAGTCGCTCCATACTAAGAGTAGTATTTAAACGAATTTTCGAAGAACCTGTATTTACACCAAAGCGCGACGCAAAATGTGATCTCTCCATTAGCGTTGTTATAAAATTATTTAAATCAGGATGCGCTCGAAAATGCTAAAGTAAGCTTTCAGTTTTTTTATTACATGTGTATCAATAAAAAATTTAAACGTTCCTTTTTTTTACCTCGAATACTGAATCATTAATTCATGAATGATAAAACATCAGCTTTTTGAGATGTAAATGGACTGCGAACTGGATTATAAAATATGAATATATAAATCTTGTGTGTGTATATTTATGAATATATAAACAAGATAAATTATATTATGCAAATGAATGTACATTAAAAATTGTGTTAGTACGTATTGTAACTGTCGAAAAGGATGAGTATTTTGTTTAATACTCTACTCTAATTATGAAAGCGATCGTACATAATTAATTTATAGATAAATAACAATAATATCGATATGGACGATGTGTATACTTTTCTAACGAGTACATACATATCTATATATTGTATATTTGAGTACACCCAGTGCTCCCTGTTATGATCGTGAATAACATAAATAAATCGGTAACAAGAAAGACTGTTATGTTTTAATTTCATTTGCACAATTGCAGTATATCTTTCTACGCTCTGAAAAATATATACGTGGATTTAACACAATGCGGTATTTATATCATTATTCTTACCTTGTTGATGTTTATACCAACACAATATGACAAAAATTATTAGGTGTTGGAATTAATTCGTAGCGTTTTACAAGTGATGGGAAGTACTTTCATTAATGTATTTTTTAATGCTCATGTGAAATAAATAACATTCTTTCATTAAAAACGCTACGAATTAATTCCAACACCTAATATATTTAACCCTCTGCTGGCAATATGAAATTTTATCTCTTCCGTCAGCCAGCAGTTTTCGAGAAACAAAGCAGATATTTTTTATTGTTCCGGATTATAAAAATGTGGAAAAATTCTGATATATATATATTAAAGATCTGATATATTTATTAAAGCTACCAATGAATTTTTATCATCACAGAAGTTGGATTGTTTTATTTAATTTTTACAGATTTAAATTTATCTATTGGAATTCACAATTAAAATGGTGTCTTCTCATAAAAGACCCCATGTTGCCGGCAGAGGATTATAATTTTAAATTCGTTTCCATATTTTTTTGTTTTTAGTGTATCGCTTAAAGTATGTCAAGTCTTATTCTTAGTCCAAGTCCAAGCTATAAAGAAAAAAGATCGTCTGCAACATCAAATGTACTTTTCATTTATTTGACTACTTATCTTTACAGATTATTCTACCTTATGCTAAGATACAACTTTCCCATTATGTTACCTTCTAATCGAACATTACAATACTTCTAAGTATAAAATAAGCGATAGAGCTTATATATACTGGTATGTAGCAACGACTTAAGTACCTTTCTACCTAGTAGTATTCCTTAAAAGTGGCGGGAATTAATCTGTACCGCTTATTTCCTGTCAACGACGAGATGCCCGTGATTACGGTTTGGCTTCGTCGGAAATCAATACGAGACAAGCGTCGAGAGACTCTTTCGATGATGCACCCGGTCATCCTACATCCATCGATCGAGCGTCGAACCGCTCACGGACGCGCTTTAACACCACCGGCAAAACAATTAGGCCACTAACTACATTTTGTTCGCGGAACACAATCGTTTGGTCGTACTCACTCTCTTTCTCTCATGTGTTTGCGCGCGCATGTCTTCAATCGCTTCAATTCATGAAGTGACGAAGATGTTCACCGAAGACACCCGCAGTCGGTGGGAGGCTCGATCCTGACGAGATGTAATTGCGCGATTAACAATGATCCGCAAATTGGAAGAGCCTTACTATGATCCGCGCACGAAGATCGGGTCGCGTCAGATCGAGGTAGAAAAAAAAACGAGTCAGTGCTTATAAAACATTGGTGCAAACGTTGCTCGACGAGCTCCCTTGAATCTGCGCGATCGAGACTGCTCCAACTTTACGGCTACGTGTATATTGACTTTCGTATGTAGATGTAAAAAAAAACCGATCATACACGTCGACGAAAGCTTTCGACTACAAAGCTCTCTCGTTAGACTCGAGACGTCGATTCACACTCCATTGAGCTTTCCCGCTACAAATTTTATGTTGACTATCCCGCGTCGCTCTTAAGTATAACTTTGAGAGACTTAAACCAGGTCTTTAAGTAGATAAACGTGAGCCTAATAAGTAAGCGCTTGAGTGTTATAGCCGCGTGTTTTGCAGCGTTGTTATTCCTTTTCTGTTCCCGCCCGTGATTACTCTTATAAACAGACGCGTCAATTAATCTATAGATGTAAGTACTTCTCTACGGGCAGCTCGCGGAGCGGATGAACCGGATAAAACTTTACAGTTCTTATTATGTTCTTCTCCTCATAATTGTAATGTCGATAATTAAAATTATCACTTAACACGCAAACATTAAGGGCCTTATCCGACGAATATACAAATCTATGCTCCTATATAGGTAGCCGTCAATATTAAGTATGTTAATGTAGCCATAATCGTATAATAATAATAATATTAATAATAATGACGACAATAAATCGTAATCGTAATAATAATATAGGCAAACTCTTGTAGCGTTGTACTTAGCGTTATTTAAAATAGTAGCAATATTTTTTTTTTTATGTACTGAATGTTCAAGTACGGACAGAAATCGATCTGAGTTAACTTCCTTTATGTATATTAGCAATATGGAGGGAATTCACTAACAATTTGCTTAAAGAGTGCAGCACATTCTCACACATCTATAAACAAATATAAAAACTTTTCTCTCTCTTATGTGACCTCTTGTCATCCCGATGCATTCTCATCCATTACACTGCCTTCGCGCCTACTAAATAATTGCGAAAATGCGTGTTGAATACACGTGCTACCACGCGTCGTCAAAATTTCGCAATTTAACTACATCCCTTTTTAACTTGATGATTTTTATGAACAAGAAGCGATTTGCCAATTATCTTTGTTCTTCAGCCCAATCAATCTAGACAGCTAGGTGAACAAATGCAATTTTATATATATATATATGTGTATGTATAAATCGGCTAAAAGCAGGAAATGCAGATGGAATGTCGTGTGTTTCTTTTTTTTTTCGTTTTCTCTTTCCCATATTTCTCTCTCACCGTAGCGAAAATAATGTGTCGATAGTGCGCCTATACATCGAGTACACACGTAAACATTTACACGCGTGACACAAAAATTCGTTTCCGTACGTAAGAAAATTAGCGATATTGTTGAAAGCACTCAGACACAACCCTCAACCCTTCGGCGTTTCACCCGTATCATCCCACACTCTTCTTTATCCTTTCTCTGCCATTCATGCCTTCATTTTTCCGCGCGAACAAAACGACACGAACGATCATGCAGAAGCACGCCCATAACGAGTGGCAATACACCATTATTAACACGTTGCACACGTAACATTCTCCTATACATTTAAAAATTGTACGATTACCGATGATCAATTCGCGAGGGTCGCCCGCCTGATCGTTCGGTGCACAGCAAGAATCGATATTATGACCGTAGCGCTATCGTGATCTCGCAAGGTCAAAGTGATTGATTGCTAGAAACGACGGCGTTATGCATTTACTTTATACAACTACACGTAAACGGTACGGCATATCTTTTTAAATGTATCGATACCTAATTGTTGAGGATCGCAGATCGTGATTCATGACAGCGATTCGACGGTAATTCTTGACTAGAACACATATCGAGGTACGGGGAAATCAATCCTTGCCATTGTACCAAGAATCAAACAATGTTAATAAATAAAATTGTTTAAAATGTCGAAAATTATTAAGAATTATATATACGTTTTAAAAAAACTTTGATAACTACTCTCGCGTTAATATTCCGGAATTTCTTCCGGATCACTTTTTAGCTAATTGATAACGTCATTTGCTAAAATTGAAGACATCGTGTATTTTGTTTTAAGCAAAGCAAATGATAAATGCAAAAGCGAATTGTAATTACATAATGTATTATAATGTATTATAAAATCATAGCGTCCTCTTAAATCATCGCGACGGTCAACTAAAATTTGTGATTCACCTCGAATGACTTATATTTATGTTTTCCTACTTTCTTTCCGTATTCTCTCATCTCTGCGTCCTTACATCTTCATTCTTTCATATACAAAGATTGTGCGACAACTATCTTGACGATAATTGGCGACCACGAAAATACTATCATTGTCACACGGCTACGAAGTAATGACAACAAAACGTTTCCCCATCCCTCTGTCTTCTTAGATACATTAAGTAATTACTCATTACACATGATTAAAATCAAATTGACGACAATATGCTATATCCGGAATACGTACAAACAACTGAAGGCTATACTTATGCGGCGTCCTGTGTCTAAGACTAGCTCGTGAAATGCACAAGGCTCAAAATGACAATAGTACTCTGTAGTAATACTACAAGACTATCGATCACATTGTTCTACGATGACGTACGAACAAAAATCAAGCTAGTAATTCTACCGCCTATACGTGATCAAGCATCTTCTTCCCCATCGTTGTTGACTGTTAAAATGTACGTCTGCTTTTTTTCTTCATTCTCTCACTCTCACATTCACTTTCACGCTTTCTCACTCTCTTTCTCTCTTTCTCTTTCTTTCATCTCTCATATATCCTACTCACTCGAATCATCCTAGGGATCACCGATGCATTCATACATAAACGCGATCCTTGACAACTCGCGGAATGTTAAGGATGAATTCGGGATGTTACTTTAGCCTAAATAACTTGCTTTGCTGATTAATATACGTCGCGTGCGAAAATACCAAGAAATATCCTCGCAAAAAGTTAAGCTGGACGGCTTTGATAAAAATTAGGATCTCTTTCGAAGGACGCGAACATCAGGGTGTAGAAAGTGTTGCGGCGGCGGCGGCGGGGGATGAGGGGTAGGAGATTGATACCGCGGCCGGGAGAATGATTAGCGATGTGTCTACCGCGCAGCATTTACCGGTGCTACCGCGGTATCAGTGATTTACGCAGTGCGTTCGCGTGCGTGTAGTCCGAACTGAACGTACAAGGTGCTTAGCCAAAAGGTTCGACGTGAGCGACATTAATACGTCTGAGAAGAATAGAATGCAAATCTCTCGCGATAATGCACGCCTTTCACTTCCTTGGCCCCTCTAATATCCCTATATTAGAAGGGAATAAAGCGCGCGTGTATGCACGTGTGTATGTATATATGTATAACGTGAAGAATTACATATTCCGTATTTACAATTGGACATTTAACGCTAGAGTGTCGTGGGCCAAATCCACGTGCAGTTCCAGGCATAAAAATAACATATGTTCAGCTCCGCCGTCTCGTCGACACGGTTTCTTTCTTCGGCGCTCATTGTCTTTTCCAGTTATAGCATACCTTTTTCTCCGCGCCGCGTGAGAAGAAATCGCGCGAACATTCGCGAACATAGATAAATCCGAGTCTTCGTTAATTGACTAGCGTTTTCGAGCGGCACGTAATATAATTTTCGCGCTTTTACAAGCATGCGACATGGTTTGACGTCCACTCGGCAATTACGCGGGATAAACGGCCGAAACTCTGATTGCACCTCGCTCTCTGTATCACGCTCCGCTCGACCTCCTCTCTCACGGAAGCACTGCACGCAGCCATGTAAGCGAGTTTATTGCTGAACGTTAAAATTCGCAGTGCACCACATTTATTTCATTGCCGCTCGTTGCACCTAATTCGAAAACGATTGATTGAATATACTTTATATACCATAAATTGCGGCGAATCTAAAGATAGTCTGACGAGAAGCTGGCCCGTACAAATGTCGCGCAAATACTATGGTTCCCCCGTATATTCGGTACACTCGTGAGTGATCCACGGAAAATTGAACAAACGAAGCGTCGTTTATCCGAGAAAATACATGTAAATTCGAAATTGTCGTACTTGGAAAGTTAAGCGCAAGAGTTTGTTTTATAGGATGCGCCATGCCTTCTTAGGCAAAGAGGAAGTCGTAATTTCAGTAACGCTGCTGGAACTCGTGATGCCATCTGTTAAAGTCGATGTGGAATATCACAATGGACCCGTTTGCCAGACCAGCTAGAAGAAATCTGTAAAAAACAGAATATATTTATGATTTGTTAAAAGAATATAATTTTAAAATGGATTCCTGAAATTATGTGCAAACGTTATCTCATTGTTAAAGACTAAAAAAAAAGATATTTTTTATGTAGATTTCACTTACTTTTGATCATGAGCTAGTGCAAGGGATCGCACGCTGCTTTCGCATGCGGGAAATGCATAAAGTAGGGCAAGGTTAAAAGTTCGCCAAACTTCAACGATACCCTTGTCACCTCCAGTCATCAAGTACTCGCCGTCTCTACTTAGTAGTAAGCACTGGAAATAAATTAACGATATTAACATACGATATATACAGAATTAATTATCCTAGGGATTAATTATGATCCTCAAAAGCCCTAATCTAATCCCCTTTTTCCTTTCCATCCTAACAAATATAACTCTTTTTGCATATCTCAGATTTATAAATATACTGATAAAATATTATTAATAGAAATTATCTTGTCAGTGACAAATATCATGTTAATTTTTAATAAGTAGCCACAAACAATAGTTCCATGTTTTCTTAAAAATCTTGTATTAGAAAATAAAAATGTTGATATTTAGAGACCTTGTTTATTATTTTTATTCTTCTATCTATAGGGGTATAATTAAGCTAAATTTACAGAAAAATGTTCTGGTAATCAACAAAATATTGGCTACCAACAAGAAGTATACACAAAATGCATTTTATCATATCAATCAGAATTTTATAAATAAATATTATAATTGAATTTTTAGCTATTTTGATTAGAATATTTGATAGATTTAATTATAAGTGTTTGATTTAAACTTTGATAATTGAATTTATTAAAATTTCAATTAATGCAACAAGACTTTTTTCCAATGTAATATTATATATTAATAAACAATAATATAAAATAAAAATTTTTTAAATATTATGTGCACTCTACTTATCAACCAGCATATCTTTAAATCATCTACTTAAAGATTTATCATATCATTGATCACATATATCTTGTTAAAAAGGAGGCGGCACCAAGTACATATATTAATGACAGTCGCTATCTATTTTTTCAACGATTTACAAAATTATACCATAAGTAGACATAATTGTTTAAATTAATTATGTAATTTCCTCATTTTTTAAATTTTCGGAAAGAAATGTCATATATAATTGTATATAATTACATATAATTATACAATTATATATAATTATATATAAAATATCTCCATATATGTGTAATATGTAACATTTTTTCCCGGGTTATAATGCCCTTGAGTTCCAGTTATAAAAACTCTTAGATAAATATGTCTGGAAATATAAATTATCAAAAAATTAATTACTGAAATTAATTACAGAAGTTCACCTGTAAATTGTCATTATGAGACTCGTGACGAAGACGTTTTCCATTTATAGTGAAAGCCGCTATGTGTCCACGTTCATAGTTTACTACGATGACGCCCTCGCGTGACATAGCGATGTTTTCAGGGGACGAAAATCCATTCGGCGCCTCGAGCGACCTCAGAAGGTCACCAAAAGTGGTGTGAACGAGTACCGGTCCGTCTGTAACATCAAATTATTTACAATTAATCATTAAAAATCAATCAAATTATTTCGAAATGTGTTTAGACAATATAATTAATTATTATACACTAGTGTAGGACAATTATATTTTTTTATCCTTTCTCTTAAGATTCATTCTTTTTTCAACTTAATACGTACAATGCGATCCCGAGACAACCAAACCCAATTCGGCGGATATGACGACGGCCGTCACAGGCTGTTCGTGACCTGTAAGGGTGGCACGTGGCGCCGGTGCTTCACCCTCACCAACGATAGTTTGTGTTCTTGCGTTCCAATGCCAAAGGAGGACAGTACAATCAGCACTTCCGGATGCAATGTAGCAATCGGAAGTAATGTTGCACTCGCTGCGCGACAAGCAAGTAACAACTCCGTAATGACCGAACACTATCTGGACGATTTTTGCTGCAAATGATAATTTTTTCTTTTATAAAGTTTCATCGTGTGAAGAAATATAAACTAATGATTGCTTATTTACACTACAGTAAAAAATATTTAATATTTGTGTTAAAAATTGTCCTTGTTAAAATTTCTGTGTTGAATTTTTAACCAAAATGTTAATTTAACATAATATGACTATTATTTGAATATTTCATGTTAAATTAATACTTAACATTTTTTAATGTAAAAGTAACACAATTTATAAATAACGAATAATTAACATAAAAATAATATAATTTAAAACGTAAATTTTAAGATAAATAAATTTACAATGTATTATTTTAATATAGTATAAATATTAATTTTATAGAAGAAATATGCTTTCACGATTTGTTTACGAATTTTATTAATGTTATATATTTTTTATTAATTTTTTTACATAATATTTGCCTTATTTTTTAAATATATTTATCTTGTGTTAAATTAATATAAAAATTTTTAATTTTGGACCTTTTAAAATACGCAAAATGTTAAATTTAACATAAATTTTCCATGTGTATCATCGTATTATAACGTGATTAATTAAGAAATATTAAAACTCACCTGTCTCGGTGGAGAAAACGCGGAAGCTATTGTCCCAAAATCCGCAAGCCACTAAAAATCGGCTGTCCACAGTGGTAACAAAGCAATTGCTGCGAATCTTAAGCTTCTGGCTAAAATTGTCGCCTAGATGTCGACGTTGTAACGTTGGATTTGAGCTGTTTGCCGCTTGAGCTAAAAATATACAGCACGGCATCGTTAATTAGTACGCACATCCCGACGACATCTTGAAAATGTTACTTCATCTGCATATGTACGCATACTTACAGAGAACAGGATCCATGGATAATGGCTGATTGGCAGCCTGCGCCTGAGGTGTATCTGCATAACTCGGAGATTGCACGGAGGCTACAAAAGATTAAAATTACGATAACAACGAGGCAATGAGAATAAATTCAAGCGCCGGAGTGCGTGTAGAAAATTACTTTACCTGCATAATTGGTATTCCACCGATTAACAGCAAATTGCTGTCCGGTGGTTACCGTCACAACCGATGGCAGTGGCAGTTGAGGGTAAGTGTTAGCCGAGATGTGACAAATCGGCGAGTTAGACGGAAATTTGATGGTCATGCACACGTCGTCCGGAATACTCGAGAACATCATTGGCGACTAAAAAAATATTGCAATTTCTGTCATTTTATTTTACTTTGAGGAGGCTCTAATAGCACAATTATCTCTAGTAACATTTCAGACAATGTATGTTTAAAATATATTCATAAAGACGTTTTTTGAGACACATGTCTAAAAAATATCTAAAAGACATTGTAAAAAGATCTAGATAATACGTGTTATTCAGGATAATATCGATAATACTGGTTCAATATATACCCAATGTTTAATCAATATATCAATAAGATGCTAATAGGAATGGCTTAAATTAAGTGAAACTAAAACATGTTCGCTTCTAAGAGGTGTATCCGCAGGACACAAGCTAACAGTAATAATTATATCATATTATAATTTCCCAACAATATAAATATAACAGATGTACATGACAGTTACATTGAGTGGAAAATTATAACATTGATGTAATGTTCGTGTTCTGCGGATAATCACATATTTTAAATTATGGGCAACATTATAATTATTTTTTTTTGTATCAAAGATTACGTTGACTCTTATAGTCTTGTTTTATATTATTGAATAAATGTTCTCAAATACTCTCAATCTTTTTGAAAACTGCATACATATAAAACTATTTTTCCATGTGTTGAGGTAATCTCACCAAATGCATCGCGGAGCTTCTCGGAGGATGCGGTTCCATCAAAAGCTGCGACGGCGTTTGTCCGAAATTCCTAATTTGGTTTTCTATAGCTTCTCTTATCATAGGATCTGTGATTGTGTCCAGTTCTACGGTACCCTCGTACGTTAAATAGTAGAAAACGTTGGTTGCACGTACGGCTTCCGGGCCTGCGAGAAACAAAGTAACCGAAATTACACGAAGATCTTTAACGCGTTATTGTTTGCTATAATTTTATGAGGTTTTCGTGCGTTATTGCCACCCTGTGCGACATAATGCATTCTTCGAGAATGACTCTGAGAGCGTTCTCGACGATTGCTTGTGCTCGGTATTTCCGGCTGGCTCTACTTTCGTGCTACCGGCTGCTGCGTTACCGCAAACGTGTTGCATATTACGGGTGGGACGCATTGTCGCGTTCGGCACACGTGCTTAATTGGTCGGGACAGGGACCAAGAGAGAAAGAGGAAGCTAACTAAAAACTAATTCCTTCCATACGCGCGCTCTCGTACGCCAGTCTTCCCTCGCGTCCGATGCCGAGGCAGCATCTTCGGGGAAGCGCCGGATATAGAGGCGCCATCAGCAATTAACATTGGTGGAAATCTAATTTGACTCGACTGCGCCTCTGTCCTAACACCCAAGGCGTAACCTTGGGCGCTCGCGAGCGGCGCCTGCCATTGTGTGAACATTTATTAATTCAATTCATGGGTTATCGTCCGAACCTAACGTCATCGACAATTAAGTAATAAAGTGTAAAAATATCTTAATAAGATACTTTATCATTTTAGATAATCACAAAGATTAAAGAAATTTTATTTTTTCACCGGACGTAATAGATTTAAATATATACTTTTATTTTTTTAATACCCAATTGACAAACTTCTATAAATTATCGTAAATATACATGGATAAAATTTTCTTGAAGTATCTAAAAATCTACTAACTAGATACAGTTTTGAAAATAACTTTGTTGAATCATCAAAATAATTATGTAGAAAATTTAATATATGAACAATGCTGCAAAAAGTTTTGACATTCTAGCAACCAGTTTGAATATTTTATATAATTATTCTAATACTCCAATAAAATCATTTTTAAATCTGTATCTAAATTTTTAGACACTTTAACAGAATGGTCTTCTCCATGTATGTTTTAAAGTTATCTTACCTTTCTGTTTATAACCGAATATCAGGTCGATCCATTGATGTAATTGACATGACACAAATTCGGACTCGAGTGCCTGAAGAAAATAGCAATTTATTAAATAATGTCAACTGTAAGATATGTCGCTGCATTGATAGAAAAATGATACAACTTAAAGTTAGCAACTTTTCTAGAACATTTTTTCTAAAATTTTTTCTAAATTTTCGAATAACATTTTAATTAAAGGAGGGATAATAAATATACATAACTTCACTATTTTTCATGTTATTTTAATTATAATATTAGGTGTTGGAATTAATTCGTAGCGTTTTACAAGTGATGGGAAGTACTTTCATTAATGTATTTTTTAATGCTCATGTGAAATAAATAACATTCTTTCATTAAAAAACGCTACGAATTAATTCCAACACCTAATATATTCTTTAAAACTTATGAGTTTTCAAAATTCAAACACTATAACTTTTTATAATGTAAAGCTGTGTAATTTTCATTTCTTATCAGAGTTGTAGCACTTTTCCATAGCAATGTCTTGACAAATGTATTATTTTTCCACAACAATATATTAGTCTTTAGAATGGATTTCCTTTCATTATCTCATAAATGCTAATTTTTTTACTTGAGTCACTTTTTTATCAATGTGCGATATGTATATATATTACTTGCGATATTTTTTCATAAAGACACATTCGTTTTTTAAATTTAAAATTTATATTAAGTTATTTACGTACGGAGAGAAAAAATTTGCTATAAACGCGGAAGGAATTACAAAATTTAATTGTCAAAATTAAAAAATTTGTTTGATATTTATATTCACATTTGACAAATATTTTGCATTTATTGGAAATAATTTTTAGCGAATACAAAAAAGAATAAATATTTATTACACCTGCCAATAATTTGCGATTCCTATATTTGCAAATAGAATTTACCGTTATAGCGTAAGATTAGTAGATTTAGTAGCTTTCATAGCAAATTTTTTTCTCCATGTTGATTTAAAAAAAATTAATTCTGTACCATTCGATTTATACGTATAAACTCTTCGGGAGACGAAGCCCAGGGTGGTAATTCAACATCGCCGACCGAGCTACCATCTTCCTGCCTACCCAAACGGTAGCGATTGCTATTTACTAACATTTCTGGTAGGAAAAAGAATTCCGGAATCAGCTCCTGTTAATGAAAAAGCGAATTTATAGCTTTGCCGATCTTCAGTATATCAAATGAGACAAAATTGAAATTTTATGCGATGATAACAACGGATATTCATCAAAGCGTGGCGAAAATGTAAATTTTACGAGTATCTTAATTAAATGCAACGAACCTTAACGTCGGATGTATCACGTTGGCAATTCTTCCACGAGAGCGCGATAGATGAAAATAGTCTGTTAGGGTGATCAAATTTGCCGCCTTGCAAAGCCAAGAACATAGTAGTCATTGGTTCCTGTAAATAAAAATCATTTATATCCGTAAAATCATTTAATTATTTTTAATCATTTGCATAGATTGTCACTGCTCCTGTTTAATATAACATTAATTTAATTAAAACAACTAAATTTGTGCGAATGAAACAATTTAATTCAAGAAACTATTAAAATTTGAGCCAAGTATAAATTTGATTCAAATTTAATTTATTATTAACTAAGTGCATACATTAACATGAACGGTTTACTTTGAAATTAACAGAAATTAATTGATTTACATTTTGACCCAAGTGGAAATTAAAATAAAATAAAATTAAAATTAAATATTTAATTCAAGAGATTGGGTTTGATATCTGTCCTTTGATATCTAACGATATAGTTGAGCGCTTTTACAATGGGAGCATATAAGTCCCGTAGAATATCAATAAGGACAAGATGTAGAAACGAGTGTGTGAGTTGGGGCGAAGAAAATGCGGCACAACTCTAAACCGCCACTTAGAGACACTTTATAGGCGGTCCTTTGTGTGCACGGTTTCTTGCGAAGCCCTTCTCGTTTCTCGGTCAGTCATCCGTTCCGTTGACAGGCGAATGAACGCAAAGCGAAAGCCCACACACATAATCGATGCACTTTCGTGCTGTGACACAAACGCGAGGACATAAACCCGATTTTTGCATTTTACTTAGGAGTGCGATCCTCGCTATATACCAGGCTTAAAACTATTCCTTTATGGCAGGACTCCGGAATAATACTATAAACGAATATATACTCGTTAACATATCTTCAGCGAACAAAGCATTGAAGTAGCACAACGGTTATAGATCAGTAAATTGTTCATGATACAATATTTTATCGTACAAATGCATTGCAAATAAACAATTGAATGCGTCACGTCGTTGTTTTGAATTTTATTTACGCAATAATATTTTAAACATGATTTAGATTTGTCAAGAATTCGGTAAGGACAACTACATAAATTCAATGGTGATATCATAGAAATTATTGCGATAATTAATAATCTGGTGACACAGATATAGTTCGATCAACACATACAATCAATGATAAAATAACACTCGGAAATTTACAGCGAAATTTAAATTTCTATACAAATTATAGATATTAACTTAGTTTAAAAAGGACAGGAAAAAATAGATGAAGATATTTTCCAGTTAGGCCCTGAAATTCAAGCGAAATGCAGTATTTCATGAGAAAATGCAGCAGAAAACAAATGTGTATATTTAACGAGAAGGCGGGCATCATTGGCATGAGGGCGTTTCGACGCCCTCAAATTAGTGTGCACGCAATACTAAAAGTGTCGCTTAAATTTATGGTGCAAACTGGACACGTTCCGTAAGTGGAAAGACAAAAAAATCAGCGATTGGAAGCTAATTATACGCCTATTATATGGATAAAGATCTGGTCCTGCGTTAAACTTCAATTTAATCCCGATAAAGGAAACGACGTCGCTAATGAATATTTTTATTTAATGAATTTGCTATGCAAATATAAATGCAATTCAATCAATTTTTTTGTTTTGTATTTAGTAATTATATAACAAAGTAATGCTATATCTGTGCTCTTTACAATCGTAAATTGATAAAATGAACTTGAATATTAAGCATATTAGTTTCATAAAGTAATGAGAAACTTACCACGCGTATCATCCAATTTAAAACAAAGGCCGCCGTAGAATAATGTGTGCCATAGTGGAAGGGTGGTATAGTGTCGTGTTCCCAACTTTGGAAACGTTCCTCGAAGTAAGCTCTCCTGTTTGGATTCAATGCGCCAATGGGCTGAAATACACGAGTATTTTTTAGTTGTTTGTTTTAAAAATTTTGCTGAATTATATATGAAATATCAAATGTGCACTGAGAGAAAAAAAATGCAATTATCATATATAAGAGACTAGAATATATAATCATTTTTAAGCCAATTATATATTTATAATTGTTTTAACCATGCAAATATAATTAATTGTGCTATTATAATAGTCACACATTTGAAAATATCTGGTTTTCTCACAATATATTTTTTAATTGTTATTGCCACATAAATAGTAAGTGAATATAAAAAAATAGTTATATTTATTATATAACTGCAATTGCATTTACTGAATAAAAATGTTTATTTTATTTATTATACCATTTACATCTTCATATTTTACTATATTAATATTTGAAATTATCATAATTTTATAATTTCTTCATGTTAGACAGAATTATACATATATGGTTATTATTACTATTATAGCAGCATAATAACCATAAACATTCTTCTAATTATAATTACTTTACCATGCAATTACAGTCATAAATGCTAAGCACTTTTCTCTCATAATCAGTGTGACTTGAACTAAGAGAATAAGATTACTGGAATATTAGTCTCGTTGTTATTTATAAAAGCCGCTAAGTTTATACCTTCGACAAATCTCTGTAATTGCTGGGCAAACTAAGATCGAGTTCCTTCGTTTCATAGTTCGTTAACACCCAAGGAAATACAGGATATTGATTCAAGTCATTGTACGTGCGGCCTGAAAAATAATACAAATTTATTTCTTTTAAAATCAAAAATATTTAAGAATAAGATTAAGTCACTCATTTTTTAAGACTGACTCATTTTTGCTCTTTAAAGTAAAATTCCACTTCGAAGAATTTAGAAAATAAACTTTGACTTTAAGTTTTAAACATTTATTAATTAAACATTTATTAATTAAACCTAAATCATCGCTTGACGTCCTAGACAAAAAAGGAACAAGGAAGTCGAAACGGGTGAATGATAAGTGTTTAAATTAAATTCTTCATACATACAGTCGAAAATATGGAAAGAGATCGCAATTTGGTTTTTAATGCGGATAATCGTCGGCCCACTTTTTTCTTCGCCCTGACCCTGCGTCTTAGCCACGGTCACTCCTATCCATCTCGCACCCCCGCTGTTAGTTAAGGGCGACGAAAGCGGCCACGAGACCGCGTCAAGCTCGTGATTCTATTTTTACGAAAAATGCGTCGCGCGACTCAATGGGGCGCGCCGCGCCGTTTAGTAAGCGCATAACTCAGAGCGTGACGGCTAATCGCTCCTGAAATTGTCACTCCCAGAGGTCTTACTCGTGCTCATCCCTCCCCTCCTCCCCCCGCCCAAGCTCCCCACAAAATCCCATCCCGAAATGCATTAGTGACGGCAGCGTG